CTACACAACTACTGTCTTATACTCTTCCTCTTCTGAAAGTTATTAATGTTGCGTCTTTGTAAGAGATTTTTTCTACATGGCCACAATCTAAAAAGTGAATATTTACTGTCAGATCAAAAGTATAAAAGAGAATCAACCCCCAACCTCGTCTTACTGGTTGCAGTGTTATCATAGAGAAAAGCGTAAAAAAAGCTCTTAGGTCCCCAAAAAAGAAAAACTTTTCTCGAGTATTTGCAATGAACAGATGACAAATCAGATAAAATAGAATCAAAACAAGCTGTGGGGCATGAATCTACTTTATTATCCCAGTTTGCATTATGACTTTGATGCATGATATCCTTATTACTAGCTTCTTGGTTTATGTCGTTTTCTCTTTATCTTGTAATCCATACTTCTGAATTGCAGAAAAACTGGAATCTCTTTAGTGTAAATGTGGCAATGGCTGGAACAGGCATATACCAGCTTTCACGAAAAATCCGGTGAGTCAGTTCATGATAGGGAATCCCATCTCTTATAGCTTCTTTTTCTTCGTTATAAACCCCATTCGTTTTTCTTGATTCAGTAGACATTTTTGTTGCAACTATAACTTGGTTTTTTTTTCTTTTTCTGGATTCAGGAATGATTATTTCAACGAGGAGCAACAACCCGCGCTAGCTAAAGAATGATGATGAAAATTGTGATCATTTAATTCCTGAGCTTTGAATGTTCTTCCATGCAATTTGATGTTTTACTTCTTCTGATATCACTGTTAATGTGAGACAAGTAATTGAGTGAATAATGACAGTTGATAATTCCATTTGTCGAGTTCAACTATATGAATCTTTTATATCCATTCGCGTAGAGTTATAAGGCCCATGTGTCTTACTTCTTTCCTAATAAGCCTGGAGAATGAAACAAAGAAAAAAATAAAATTAGAATAAGAGATTCAAATGATGAGAATCAAAGAAATTGAAAAATAATTCGTGCGTGAAAAAAGATCAAATATACCTCTAATTGCTAGATGAGTATGACCCTTTGGGCCCAACATTAGACTTATTCATAGTCTAAAATGTGAAAATTTTTATAATTGACATATATAAGATTAATAATTATAAGTTATGACATTATTCTTTTATCTTTTAAGTTATAACAGTAAAAATTGCAAGTTCTAATATTTTCATAAAATAAAAATGATTTAAAATAACAGTAAAAGTTAATTAGTGTGAAAAATAAATAAGGTAAAAATGAATATATTAGTAGTAAATAATTTGAAAAAATTAATGATAATTAATAGGAGATTCATAAAAAAAGGAATATTTGTTTTCCTTATTTACCCTCCCTAGTAGCTCCCACCCCTTTTGCTCCCTTGGTGACTCGAACTCGCAACCTTCGGGTTGGAAGTGAGGGGTGCTTACCATCCGAGCAACTCCCTCTCGTCGATGTCTTTGCAATTTTTTATTTGTATTGAAATACAAACCAAACGTAAAAAAAATAATTATGAACACCGATACTGAAAAAAAATATTTAAATTTTATTTGTGTATAATAGTTTTAATTATGGCGTTTTTGGTATGAACACATATTTTTTCTTCAACAATTGAAGGGTGAAAAGACCGTGTGCATGCCTTGTTCACATATGTTTCATACACATTGCATCAGAACCAGGTTAGACAAGAGTCACTATTGCCCTATTTGCCGCTATAACGTGTCATCAACATCAACTTCATGGAAGTCATTAATTTATGGGGTCCCGAAAATCATTTTGAAGAAAGCCTTTCCTACACACTAGCTTCATATTTTCTTCTTTGTTTATTTTTACAATTGCTCATATGATTGTCTAAAACTTTTTTCATTAATTTTCATGGAGATTGCTTTATAATTTAGTTCATTAATGGTCTCTTAACTTTTTCATTAATTCGTTAAAGGAAAATGAAGCACGATAATAGCAAATAAAATTAAACTGTACCTGAATCTACCGGTAAAGAAATTTCCTTTTTTTAGAGTCAAACGATAAGAACTTTGATTAACATTTTATGATATATTTTTTCATCATATTGATATGCAAAAATTGCAATTTATAGTACTTTTCGTAAAGTTTTTGAATATCTAAATTTTTAGTTTAAAATATCAAAATTAATGTAATCTAATTTAACTTTGATAATTAGTCAAATTGTCTTTCGAAAAGCGCAACATGACATAAAAGGAGACGAAAAGAGTAGTAAACAAACTTGACGATATATAATCTAGGGCAAAGACAAGAGTACAACGCGGGATATGTGGATAATCAGGACTATCAAATTCCTATATTTACTACTTATGTCTTCATAAATATTGTGTTTTTGCTTTCCTTGAGCCAAGTGTCACAACCTCTTTACCTGGCAAGGTAAGGGGTAGGCTCTACATACATTCTACCTTCCCCAAACCTCACTCATGAAACTATATAATGGATATGTTGTCATTGTTGTAGTTCTATTCCACCATACTTCTTATGATACTTAGCACGGTTAATGTTGCGATATGATAAAAGAAGAGTTAATATCTCAAAAGATCACTCAACTTTAAGAATTTATCTAGTAAAGTTACTGAACTTTATTTTATATCAATAAAATCATTCAACTTATGTCTTTGTATCAATAAAATCATTCAACTTTAATAGTAATTTATTTAGTCAAGTCATTGAACTATGTTTTATATAAATAAATAAAATCATTCACTACAAGAAAAGTATGAATTACATGGGGATTTTCCTGGGGATTAGTATGAAATTTTGCAGTAAAATAAGTTTCCTACAGATTTTCATATTAATCCCCAAGAAAATCCCCATGTAATTCACACTTTTCTGATAGTGATTCAACTTAAGCCTTTGTATCAATCAAATCACTCAACTAATTTTATTATTAAAAACAAATTGACATAGCAAAATAAATATGTAAATATTTAAGAATAAATTTAATTTATGAAATAAATATTATAATACTATTATGTACTTAAAATTCAAAATGTATCACGATAAACGTTATCCTACCAATAAATATTACTGATATTATCCCCTATAAGTTTTACAAATCTCCAAAATCCCTCATTTTCACGCATCAGATTAGTGTATCTCGTGCATCAGATTAATGTATCAGCGCATCAGATTAATGTATCTCGCACATCAGATTAGTGTATCATGTATAAAATGTA